ATTTCAGAAAACATGGGTTCCGTCTTCTTATTTTCTATCCTGCAACGCATTCTTGATGTTAAGACGATACGAATCTCCCTTCAGCTTATAGTTGCAAAATATGTAAAACGAATTTATTCATTGAAAATATCAATTCTCTATATTATTTCTATGATTAATTGTGTCAACCACGCTTCAAAATGTATTTTTCCTTCATATACCCTTTGATTTCTTTATGATTAAATCTTCTCAATTTAATTTAACTTTTTTCATACACAAGAGCAGTCACAAAAACATGCTATAATGCGAAAAGTATTAAGTAATGCTGAACGCCAAAAACGATTTCGTGCTAAAAAAGGAGCATTAAGTAATAGATCGACTCAAAGTAGCTTTCATCAACCACGAACTAGTGCTGAACGTCAAAGATTATACAAAGCAAATAAGAAATTGCGACAAAAAAATACTGAAACTCAAGAAGAGGAGTTTATACAAACCCAAGAAGAGCAATATGTACAACATCTCGTTAAAGAATGTTAAATGTTGCAAATAAAAAGATATTTTAAATTCAAAAGGAAATTAAAGTAAATTCTACCTATTCCTGATTCATTTATAAATTATTAGACTAACAAGAATATTAAAATTACAAAATAAAATTATTATTGGCATCATGCGTTAAAAAAGTTCCCAGTTCCCAGTCGATTTTCACTTCAGGCCATCAATTTTGCAAATTTTTTCAAATCATCTCCCTGTGTTAGTTATCTAATTGGTACCCTGAACCTAACCAGGCATGCTCTGCAGGTTTTGGCCCTCCGAACTCCCCCATTAGCGATGCCATAAAGTTGATACTAATTAGCAAACAGCAACAAAACATTCGGTACCCGAAAGCCCTTTTGCGTTTAAGAAAGTGACCCAAATCCGGCAAAATCAATAATGCGAATAAAGCCGCTGCGAGTAGTGAGCGTAAATTACCTGTTCCAAGTATGTATGCATATAACTTACAAGCATGCAAATCTCTTTGCGATTTGTGCCGAATTTGTCGACCATGATTAAAGTTTGCTGCAAAGTTGGTGCCTCGATTTTGCTTTGTTGGAAGCGGGCGAATTGTTAATAGTTCGGGTTTCCGGGTGGGTATTACTGTTTAGGCTCCGGTTTTGCGAGCGGCTTTTGTCCTTAGATGGATCGTCAAGTGGCCAGCAAAGATAATGAATGCATGGGCAATCAGTGGCAAGCGTTTTTGAGAAGTTTGCATTTTAAATAGGCCAGGCGTGCACAGGATTTACTACCCGTGTCGCCTGGACAAATTGAGGCCTACACGCATAATGTGTTATTAAAATTAGCCGGGGTTGTGATGTGATGGGGCTTTACCACGCTCGTGCGTAAGTTGAAGCTCGGATTCCTCCTGTTGAGGCCACTGACTTCAGCTCCCCAATCCCAGCCAGCACCACGAGCTATTAATATTCAATTAACAGTCGCCTCAACTAGATTCATTCGTCATTCGGACTGTTTATAATGAAATGCATGACGATAATTATCATCATCCATCACTGCTGGGATCAAAGTAGCACCAGATTCGAAGGGGGCCCCATTAACCAGATGGGTGCAAGATATCGGTAATAGCAGATAGACTATGGCATGAATTATGGAAATTCGGTTCATTAGCCCAAAAGCCATCCATCAAACGGGCGGATTGTCTAGCAAATCGGCATTGGCTCTTTGCGGGTCAAAGATGCGAATTGTTGCTAATCGTCAGCCAGGATATTGAATAGCCTCTTCTGTTGTCTATGAAGAAATGCAGTCTTCTGTTGTCTATGAAATTAGAAAAATTATCGTTGTTTTGTGCAAGGGTGGCGTAAGATTATTGCAAAATTTCATGTTTTTCGTCCCGTTTTTGCTCATTTCTCGGAGGCAAAATGAGCAAGAACGCTCATTTGTAC